AGTTTAGTTGGTGTGAGTTGTACTTAGGTTTGTATAGTACAAACACTCATTTTCTTTCTTTTATTATATTTTTAAATTAATTGTATTAATTAATTTTAATTAATTAACTAAAGTTTAAATTTTATTTTTAAATTAACTAGTCAACTATTTAATTAAAATTTAAATTTTAAATATATTTTAAAATTATTCAATAATTAATTTAATTTACTGAAGTTTTAATCTATTCATTACTAAAATTAGTTAAGTTTTAAATTTATTACTCAATTAGTTTTGATTAGTTTTATGTTTTAAGTTTCATTTTTAAATTAATTAGTTTATTAATTAAATTGATTAATCAATTAATCAGATGATTTTGGTTTTATTTTTAAATTAATTAATTAGTGTAATTAGTTAAATTAATTAAATAGATTCGTTAATTAATTAGATAATATTTTAATTTAGTCAAAACTCTTTGACTCTCAAATTCAACAAGCTCCCGATGTCCCCTCATGAGGGGAGGTCCGAAGGGCAATTGTCCTTTCTACTTCGCCCAGTTGGATAAGATTCAACAGCCGAGAGCTTCGGGACAACAATGGGTCCCAGTATAGGTCTTTTGGTCCTCCAATGAAATATTTGTTAAGGGGATTTTGTAATTCGACATTTCCTCAAAATTTTATTAACCTTTTGGCACCCCCTCCCCACAAGGGAAGGTTGGTGAGTTCGCTTGCCCGTTCAAGTCCGCTCAATCGGCTTAAAATCAATGATTGAGGGCTTCGGGGGAAGAATTAATCCCGACATTAGTCTTCAAGGCTTCTAAGTAGTTGTTTATGCTTTCAAATCCGCCGTTGGATAGGATTTAATGGTCGAGGGCTTCGGAACGTTGATTGGTTCCAAAATTGGTTTTCAACTTCTCCAATCGACGATATCGATACCTGTATTTTCTTTTGTTCTCTCTCTTATTTATTTATTTATTTTTATAATACATCCCTATCACTTAGGGGCAAAGAAGTGCTCGGGTTTGGCTGTGAGGAAGAAACAGAGGTAGGGGTTGATTGGGCTGGTCAGTTGGGCGCAGGAAATCGAGAGGTTGAGCCTACAGCTGGGTCGTCTGAGCGGGTGTAGTCGTGCGTGAGGGAGCGGGGTTTGGAGACATTGTCGCAGGTGTGGGAGACTTGGGAGATCGGGTTCGAGAACTTGTTCGGGTTGTTTGATCGAAGCCATGTTATAAAGACAGGTGATTAAAGCCAGGGGATCGCAAGTTCGTAAACGAAGGCGGGGCTGCGGCTTTGCGGTCAGGAGCCTGTGTGGGAGGTGACTTCGTGCGGCATGTGTAAAGGATCGGGAACAGAGATGATGACAAATCTCTAGACAACCAAGTGAGCGTAAGTTCAAATGGCTAGAGAGAGAGGTGTCTTCCATTCTTCCGTGCTTTTGAAGGAGTTATGTAGGTGGGATCGTGGGTCGATTGGGCTGGTTGGTTAGAGTTCAATAGCCTGCGATAGGTATTAGATCGCCGAAGATGAATAAAATAATATTAAAAAAATTGTACATGTGCGCCTTAAATATTTATAAAATTTATTATTATAATTTTTTATTTATTAAAAAATAAAAGCTAAAATTTTTATTTCCTCTTAACAACCCCAAATCAATTGCCCGCACTCAATACCCCATTCCCCAAACAACTATTTTAATTTTTCTTTCGCAAATCGTAGATAGGATTTCATAACAAAGCCTAATGCCTCGCAACATCGACTTTCAACGCCATCAAAAAATCAATGTTTTAAAACCATATGAAAATCAAAATTTGACACCAGCAATTTCTACTTCCACAATCATGCTCTTGCGTCGTTTCAACATCTCATCTTTTTCCAGCATCATCTCAACATAGACTACTATGTTGTCTCGACATCGACGCTCGATGTTAACTCTTGACAAAATTGTTGTCTCTCCTATTGATGCTTGAAACACGACATCAACGTTCGACTCTCGACATCCTAATATTAATCATTTTAAGCACAAATCCTAATTAAATAATTTATTATTTTTTTAATTATTCTTAATATTTTGCTAACGCAATTTCTATAAACTATTTTTAAGATATAAAAGTTATAATGTTGTGTCCAACCCATGTTTGTGTCTTATATTTTTAATAATTGACGTCCCGTGTTTCTGTCGTGTCTGTGTCGCCATATTTGTATTTGTGCATCATAGATTATATCTTTCCTTATTTGCATTAATTATTTAAGTATGTGTTGGGAACCCTCTTCAACAAACCAACTGCTTAGAACTATATGAATCAATTGAACAACAACATCAAGTCTTTATCCCAATACGTGGGGTCGGCTACATGAATCATTTTTCTCCATTATATACTGTTAAGAGCTAAATTCTCATTTAAATTTAATAAAAAAAGCGTAGTTGCTTGAATACTCTCCTCTTCCTCTCCCTCATATTGGGTTGCATGCCCATTCGCACTCCACCCCAGAGTGTACCCTTTATTATGCTTCTTTCTACTCCTCAGGTTGTGCACTTATTTCTAAGTTCAAAATCATCATAAGAATTATCCTATTGCATCACATGCATCATTTTTTATCAATGCTGCGAGGCAAAACCAAGAAAGATATATCTCTCATCCTCTTGGGATGTGTTACCTCTCTTGCTCACCCTTAGGGTTGTGCCCTTTTCTCTTGTTCCATTTTTCCAGGTTATCTTCAAACCCTATGCAACAAGAATCATTTCACTTCTAATTCCATCATTTAAAAGCCAACCCCAAAGTTCATTGGAGATTTGAGGTTTCAATCATCAGAGCAAACTTGGATTCTTTGGAGATGATGATTCAAATACAAATGAAAATTTCAAAGAAATTCAAGTTCAAGAGGTGTTTATGGAAAAGAAAAAAATTTAAAGGTGTATCCTCCCAAGTCTTTCTCCATGACCATCTTCTTCTCCCTTCTATTTTGCTTCCTGCACTACACCTTATTTACTGGCAGTAAATCTCTCAAAAACACATGTGGCAAAACAAAGTTCAATCCTAAACCTATCATTTTCTTGCTGCCCTCCAACATATAGCCAAAAACTTGAAATTATATCAGTGACATTCTGTTACAGCAATTGGATGCTCTACAAGCTAAATTTCAGTTCACAGAAATCTGTTTTCTCAAACATTGGTGCTGTATTTTGCTTTCAGCTGCTACTGAATGCAGAAAGTTTCATATTGTTTACCTACTGAATTCATGCTGTAAACCTTTTATCTACTTTAAAAGGCGTCTACCCATACCTCAAGGCTTAGCTAAATTTCCTTTGCCAAAAGCTCACCTAATTGCAACATGCGACCTTCGTTACCAACAGCTAAAACACGGCTCAGGGTTTCAGGTGGGTGCAATATTTTGGCTGTTACAGTTTTACCAAGTCTCTTCCAATTTTGAAAATATTTCTAGCAAGATATGATTACAAATATTCAATAAACCTAGTCCTCAATTATTCCCATTATCAAAAAAGTCTTCGATTAATTTGATTCCCCATATTAATTGGAAATCAAATATTTACCAAATTAATTTGAGATTCTATCCTTATATCAACAAAATCATCCATATCTTTCCTATAACTTAGGTTGTCATCTTTAACCAAAATTAAATCTCATCATCCCTTTCCTAGCTTCGATCAACAGCCTCCTCTTCTCCAATGTTAACCCAAAGAGAACCCACCATATTAATCTTATCTTAATTCTTCTTACCCTATCAACCTCCACGGAAGCAAGCACCTTGTTATTGCCCTCATGCAGTCCATACTCTCCACTTATAGACCTTTCCATCACTGCTTGTAGAAGCAGCTCCCAGTTTTCCTGCAATATTGTAGTCAATTCACCATTTGGATTGTAGAATATAATCTCATCTCTAACTCACTTAATTTACCAATACTATCCATGATTTAATCATCTTCTTCCAGGCTCATCTTCTGTTACATGTAGTTATTATACTGATTATCATAACGATTATAACAATGATAGAAAAGAAAATTCTCGTTATTCACCTAAATATCATGGTAATCTTTATCATGATAAGGGGCATAAAAGACTATGCTCTTCTTATCATGTTATCTATGTTCTCTATCTTCAAAATATAAGGAAAATTATGTACTTCATTGCATGATCATAATAGATCATATCATGAAGATAATGCATAATATCATCATCAATATGATACTCATTATAGGTCAAATTACTTTGATCGATCTCCTCGATCTCATTGAGTGACCAACAAACATTAGAATTTTATCGACAGACTTGATGCTTTGACATAGCCATGAGTGTTACCTTTCAAAATAGCAAGGGTACTCTTCATTATCCCGCATACCCATGCTATTGATGATGTTGATAAGTTCCGTGCAATCATTACCAAGTGTGATGAAGTATTTGAACTTGCGGGCACTTGAGGTTAAGCCTAAAATTCTAAGAAAGAACTTATGAGCTCTTTGGACTTGACTGATCGAAGATTATTATGAGGATGAGCTAAAATCACTTAAGGACTATCAATTACCACATTCGAAATATACTCCAAGGGATCAAGTTAGCCTTTGGTATAGTAACTAAATAGAGTATGAGATAGAGCCAAAACCTATAGTTGAGATTGTTCCACATGACATTATTGTCCCCCTATTAAAGTGCTAGAGATATAAGATTTTGTCAAACCCGAGCCTGCATTATAATAGTTGTTTACCAGCATCCTGAGCTTGAATTAATATCAACACCCTCTCTCTCTCTCTTAACTCAATAAGGTTGTGTACACTTTCCTCCTAGCTCTCTTCCCTAGTATTTGTTTACATTTCCCCAAGTTATTTTCAAATCTAGTGCAACACAAATCCTTTTCTTGATTGCAGCATACACAGGCCACACAAAAACATGCTCCAGCCCACTGAGCATTTTGAAAAGAATCCTGGTGTGAAAAATATAATGAAAAAAAGGAAAATCATGGTTCTTCGTGTTTATATCTTAGAATGTTGCAGCAGAGAATAAAATTGCATACCTTAAGTTCAGCATATGCATAGTAGTATTGTGGATACTTTCCTCCAGCTCCACCAAATGCTTCTTGCCAGGATTCTAGCAGAATCAAAATTTTATCCCTCACCTGAATATCCGCCTGAAAGAAGTATCATAATTAGTGTGAGAATAGTCTTTAATAAATCACAAGCAAGAAGCCTAGTTATATCGATGCTAGGATGAAATAATAAAAAAATCCTATACATCTAGTAGTACAATAGGCATAAGCAAATATTTTCCCAAAATGTCAAAGATGACAATGAGAAATCATAGGGAAAAAGATGGTGCCGCATCATGGGTGCAATGCCCACCCCAACACATCTAAATAACGTCCATTGAAAGCACAAATAACCGTGCAACAAATAATCACTAAATTATATCAAACTAATTTGATTATTCTCTAACCTCTATACTCCAAAGTTTTATAAGCCTATTAATTTAATAGCATGTCAGTAATCAACTAACTACTCTAATTAACAATAGAAATGTTTAGTAAAAAAACAGCCTACATTCAAATCTGCTCTAATTAACAATATAGAGATTTAGTTATAAAAAAACAGCCAACGTTCAAATTCGCTTCTTTTCTTCCTTTCAGCTTTCTGATACACCAAGGGGGCCCACGTTGTGGGGCCCGGGGATTTAATCTTCACTATGCAAGGAGGAGAAATTAGGGGAGAAATAATTAGGAAAATTTATTTAGAGAAAGATGACTGATTGAATTTAGATTGAGGAAGAAATTAAGAAAGATTTATTTAAGAAAAAGGGGCTGAATTGAATTCAGATTTGGGAGGGAATTAGAAATGTTTTATTTAGAGAAAAATGGCTTATTTGAACCAAAAGAGGAACAAAATTGAAATTAAAACCCCAGTCATCAAACTCAATGTCAACCCAAACGCTTAAACCTGGAAGCGAGGATCAACCACTTGATATTTCAATACAAACATAATTTTTAAATATTCAATGGGGAACTAAACTTAATGTTTTCATACTCCTTAACAATCTTCCCCTAATATAAGATACCTTACATGAAAACTTTTCATATCAATCACACCCCCTTTAAACAAAACTTTTAAACATCAAGTATTATGTAATAAAAGCCACCCAATCACAAGGGGAAGTCATGAAAGTCACCAAATCTTGAATTGTGCTCAACTATCACATAAAAAACGAATAACCATTGAGAGCCACATACTATAATAACTGTTTAATCTCAGACAAACTATTAGCTTTGATGCCACTAATTAGAGAGTGCGAATCAAAAGGGGATAAAATTAAATTCGATACATGTGTGGCCAAACCCATTTTCAACTTAAAAGCTTAAGTCTAGGGATGAGAGCCAACCATTATATATTTCAACATCAACATATTTTAAATTATTCGATGTGCGACTAAACCCAATACTCTCGTGCTCTTAACACCATGTTTAAATATGCATTTGAAAATTGATAGTACACTTTGCTAGGACTTGTCAGGATCTTTCCACTTCTTCAAGAATCAATATTAGCTTTAAAAGTGACAAAAAAAAACAGTATCTTTAAAAGTAAACAAACACATTCAGATGGAAAGAAGGACGAGAAATAAGAGTATACAATATCATTATATTTGTCCAGAATTTATATCTGCATTTGAAATTTTGTAATCTTTTGTGCTTGAAATTGCCAGATCAAAAGTTAGTACTAAAAATAGACCATTTCACTGTCTAATCATTAGGAAAGCCCAATGCAATTCTTAAAGTTTATACGGAACAAAGTCAAACCAAGATTATTTCATGAAAAAGGCACCACAGTATGATAATGTTGGCAAATTTCAGTAGGATTTCCCTGGTAGAAAAGAGAAAACTTGAAAAAATAGAAAAAGAAGTGGAACTTACGGTTTTCCTGACAATTTTGACCATTTCTTGTAAAATTTCACGATCAACAACTTGGAAATGCACAAAATCACCACAGTTCTTTATCATTGTTTCCAAAAGCTGCGAAGGTTGACACAGGTTACTGCTACTGAAATCCGGTAGAACTTCATGTCAGTTCTATTACATGGATAACGAGATTCGCAAGCCAAGGGTTGACATGGAAATTGTGCAAGAATAAAAGAAATAGGCTAAAGATCAAGCTTTCTCACTGTTCAACACATACCATTAAAGCAAGAAACTGAACTCTTGGGTTCTTGTTTTGCAAACGCTTCTTCACAGCTTTCACAATATCTTTTGCTTGCCTGGTATGAATGACATTGAGTTATTAAAGCAACCATAAGGATATTTGAGAAACAAACAGGAGTAGGCATAGAATCTTGTTAGAACGTTAAATCATGTCACCACAATTTAAGCACAATCAACATAAGATCAAAAAGTTTGCATGAAGTTTTCAGATTATTTGACAAATTAGGTCCCAAAAGTTTGCATGAAGATTCATCGAATTATAAAAAGGTTTAATTGGGTCCTCAACTTTGAAAATACGAAATCTAAGTGTTTTAAAAGTTCTGAAAGTAGAAACTAACATAAAGGCTATTTCTGCTACTGAAGGTTTTATGCAGATGTCAACAGCAGTATGCTCCCATCCACAGGCTTCACATATTCCCAAGCTCAGTGAGATTTGAAATTTGAACAAGTATTTCAAGCATAACACAACCGAAAAAACAACATTTTGAAAAATATAACAAATATGAGGTATTAAAAAAATTTGAAACTTGGTGAAGCAAAATGTATCAAGGTGTAAAAATTTCTAATGCAACACTACTGCTCCAAAATGATATGCAACTTAAATGCAAAGGTTCTATAAATTTTAATAAAATTTTCAATGAAGATGCAAAACCTAGTGAAAGTCGGGTGCACAGATAAGCAATGCCAAATTTCAAGTGAACGATCTTAACATTATAACTACTGATGAATAGCAGGAAACCATCAAACCAAATCTCTGCAACAAAGCAACTAAATCTCCTAGCAGATCTTGAACAGAAACTTGAGATCATAGAATGAAAAACAGCATATTCAATTTTGATGCATAAAATATAATTTCAGAAATGTGCCAGAACAGATTAAACCTGATCATGCTTTGCAACCGATAACTATAAACACGAAGGGTATGCTAGTTGAGAGATGATGTAACATGAAAAGGAAATGCCACAATGGAAAATAAAGATTCAGCAACCATATGTTGTTACCTATCATTAAATTTTACTTAGCGATGCTTTCCAACAATCAAATCCAAAATCCTGATGATCACCATCATCATTATCATCATTATCCAAACTATTTAGGGTTAAAATAATGAATCTCCCAAGTAATCTTTTCATCTTTTCTTGAAGTCTTCCTTGTTAATCATGTTCATATTTTATTCACTTTTATGCATCTGATTTGATAAAAATTCCTAGTTCTCTTTTATCTTGGATAGTGGAGGAGATAATATTAGAGTAAACTTGAAGCTAAAAGATAGTGGAGGAGATAATTGTCCATATCATTGTCCATATTTGCATTGGATGGAGAAGCTGAAAGATAGTGGAGGAGATAATATTAGAATAAATTTGTGCCGGTATGCAGATTAAAAGGAAATACTTTATGCATATTTTCATATATTAGTTTGTTCCTTTTCTACAAAAAGGCAAATACATGATAAATTCCTTAGGCCCCGTTCAAGGAGATAGATCATTAATATAATACAAAGCTGAATTTACTACTCTGTCAAGGTATCCATCTGGATTGTATACACTACAAAAAAAAAATCACAGATTTTTATCATGATTAAGAGATGCAGTCAAGCAATCGCTCAGTCCTTTAGGAATAGATGACTATTCCGTTTTAATAGAAAAAGGGTCAAGAAGGTCAAAAAGGATGTTCAAAATACTCAGAAACGATGTGAATTTCAAAAGAGAAAATATAGAAGGCATGAAAGGTTCATAAGAATCACTGTCTAGACAGTTTTTGCAACCTGAAAAATCCAATAGGAAGAAGCCAAAATTCAATAGCAATTGAAGTCAGTCTAGTCTAAATAATTATAGAAAATTGGAAAATAGCATAAGGGTGAATGTTTTTCTAGAATAAATACTTGCTTCGGGCATTGTTGGCCTGAACACATGGCTAAAAATTATCCTACCCTGAGGCAAAAGCCTTCAGCAGAAATAAAAGTCAGCGTTTGATCATTTCAAAGGAATATTTGCAGAAAGAGAGTAACAGAGTCGACTGCATCAATTTCAGGTTTAAGTTAAAGCCGACAAAATACTCAGCCTAAAGTGTATGCACTATCATAATAAGATGCTAAGGATTCACTTGAAGTTATTATATGGATGTTTTTCATTTTATATATATATATATATATAAACAAATTGTGGAGTATCTAGGGGTTGTTATTATCTTTTTTATTGATATTATTATAGGTATCATAACAATTCAAAATAAACATGTACAAATTTTATTTTATGCTGAAATTTCACATTCATATATCTCAGAATAATTTGTTAAATTAGTGCGGTTGAATATTTCAAAAATGCCTACAACTTTAACTCTTATGATGTCAAATGGATCAATTATGAATACTGAGAATTTATGTTAGATAAACATCAATATTAGTAAAATAAAATTTGAGACAAAACTGAATGTATTATCACTGCATGAAATTGATGTACTTTTAGGGGTGGATTGACTATCTAGCCATTTTGCCAATATAGATTGCAATAAGAAAGAGGTTAAATTTTATTTTCTTGGAGGAAAGAACATAATTTGAAGATAAATTGTTATTAATGATAATAATCTATTTGAAAGCTTACAAATTATTAAATAATGGGCACCAGAGTTTTCTTGTTGGGGTAAATGATATAACTAAAAAGTTAAATAGTTGAAATATATACAAGTAATGAAAGATTACCGGAAGTGTTTTTCAGATTATTTGCATGAGTTGTCGTCATAAAGAAAAATAGATTTTACCATTAAATTATTACTAGATTTAGAACCAATAAAGAACTTTATTAGATGACAGTTAAGGAGCTACAAGAGTTAAAAAGTCACTTGCAAGAATTAGTAGATAAATCATTTACTAGGCCTAGTACATTTTCATGGGAAACTCCAGTATTATTTGTAAAGAAAAATGATGTAAGCTTCAGGATATGTATTTATTAAAGAAAATTGAATAAAGTTTCTATTAAAAATAAATATCCATTACAAAGAATTAATGATTTATTTGATCAGCTTGAGGAAGCTTCAGTTTTCTCAAAAATTGATTTAAGGTATGTATATCATCAGTTGCACATTAGAGATGAAGATATAGCCAAAACTACATCTAGAACAAGATCTGACCATCATGAGTTTGCGGCAAAGCTGTTTGGAGTGATGAATACTCTAGCAATTTTCATGGATTAAAGAATATAATATTCAAATCAATTTTGGATGTATTTGTAAAGAAATTTATAAGTGATATTTTAGAGTATTCTAGAGATGAAGTTAGTTATTCAAATTATTTGCATGGAGTTCCACAAACACTATGGAAAATAAATTAAATGCTAAATTCTCAAAATGTGAATTCTGGTTAAAGAGTGCAACATTCTTTGGGCATGTAATAAGCAGTGATGCTAGTTCAGTGGATCAGAACAAAATTAAATCTATTTTAGGTTGGCCAAGGCCATTGACAGTTACAGAGGTGTGAAGTTTATAGGGCCATGTAAAGTATTGCATCTGATTGGTAGAAGAATTTTCTTAGATTGATATACCATTATAAAGGTTAAATAAAAAAACGATGAAAAATGAATGTAACATTCAATGTAAGGAAGCTTTTCAAAAATTGAAGACTTATTTGATGCTACTCCAATATTAACTTTTTCATCAAGTATAGAAAGATTTTAAATATACAATGATGCTTCATTATCGTGCTTAGGGTATGTGTTAATACAATATGTTAAGATAGTGACATATTCTTCATGGTTATTAAAGAATTATGAAAGAAATTATCCTACAATGTTCTAGAATTGATAGCAATTGTTTTCGCACTTAAGATTTTTTTTTATTATTTTTAATTTTATTTTTTGCACTTAAGATATGGAGGCATTATTTATATGGGATTAGGTGTGAAGTCTTTACAAATAAAAAAAAATATGAAATGCATATTTAATTAAAAGAAAATAAATTTTAGCACAAAAGATGACTAAAGCTTATTAAATATTACAATCTAGATATACAACATAATTCTAAAAAGGTAAATATACTTATAAATGCACTAAGTTGAAAATTTTCTAGCAATGCAAAATTTTCCAACAATGCAAATTAGCTACACTTAACAGGAATAATTAATTAAGGATATTGAAAAATTAAAATTATAAGTGGTTAATTATAAATATACAAATTTTATTTTATTGAATCAGCTGGCAGGTCAGTTGACATTAAAAGACAATAAAAATTTCATTATCTCCAAATATCAATTAAAGAAAATACTAAAAATGATAAAAGTAGGTTAATTAAAAAATTCTAAAATTAATAAAGATAAATCATTGAAAGACAATAATAGAACCTGTTATTTAAATACTGAAAATTTTTAAGAGATGAAATTCTACAAGAAGCACATTTGTCTGATTATATAATTCAACTAGAATAAAATATATTAAGAGTTGAAAAAAATATTTTGGAGGCCAAGAATAAAAATAATCATTACATAATTCATATTTAAGTATAACTACATGCCAAATGGTTAAAGCTGAACATTAAAAACCAGTTAGACAATTGCAACCCTTAATAATATTGGCGTGGAAATGGGATGGGATTACATAGCTTTTTGTTAGGAAACAAGCGCAGAAATAAAAAAGAGCTTGGCTGAAATTTAGAATTTCAACAAAGATCGAGCAGAATTTGAGATAAACCCCGTGGAAAAAAACTAGGGAAACTTGATAATTGATGAATAGTGGAAGAAAATAAATAGGATACAATAAATCTTCAATTCAAGAGGAAGATTCGACTTACCCAATCCCTACCCGGCGGCTAAAGCCCAAGCAAACCTAAGAGAAAACCTAAATTCAGCAAAAACAAAGATCAACCTAACCCTAACCCTTCAAATCTATTTAAAGAATACAAATATAATTATAATTACTAAACATTCCCTCCCAAATTTAATTCCCTCCAAACCGCCCCCTCCTCTTTAATTTTGTATTCAAATAATGGCACCAAAAGGGGGGCCGACGGCTTTTTGGTATGCTTGGAGTAAACCAAGGGCCACCCCTGGAGCTGGTCCGACTGGACGAGT